AAAAAGGTGATGGGTATCAAGGTTTCAGTGAGAATCGCAGAAACTGTACAACTCAGAGTGAATGAATGTGCAAAAGCCAGGACGGTAACTTTACCACTGGCGCTGGCGGAGAGAGTGAAGACCAAGCTTGTCAGTTATTTCAGCAGCATTCATTGCATTTGGGAGATCTTGTTTGTTGGCAAATACAAGCAAAACAGCATCTCTCAGCTCATCCTAAAACCAAGTCAATGTTTTAAATGTCTGAAGTGACAATTCAGCACTAAGACCAGACAAATAAATGTAGCAGCACAACACAGCTCACCTCATTCAACATTCTATGCAACTCATCCCTTGCCTCAACTATTCGGTCCCTGTCATTGCTATCCACCACGAAAATAAGACCTTGAGTGTTTTGGAAATAGTGCCTCCACAAAGGACGAATCTATAATTTAAGGAAACCAAGTTATTCATATTATACAGAACTCATAGCTAAGATGGTAAAACAATTTAAGTTTAAAACCAAAATATAAGAAACAGGGGAGGGGAAGGTGGATGAAATGACTAAATGGTATTATCCCCACTAAACATTTGAAACATGCATGCTTAACACAACGCTTCATGATTTATCAGCAACCGAATCACCTTGAATAAGTCCACAACTAGCACAGATACAGGAAATTTGATGATAAAAGCAACAACTCTATTAGCAATGATTTTCTTTTCTTAATCCATACCTTGTCCTGACCACCAACATCCCAAACAGTGAAACTGATGTTCTTATATTCCACTGTCTCAACATTAAACCCTACAATGAAGAAGAAAAAGCTCCTTAAAAAATCAACATCAGAAATGTTGGTATTTCTTACAATTCATAGGAGTATAATTTGCACCATACTAGCTCAGCAGATGTATTACCCAAAAAAAAAAAGAACAACTAAATCACCATCTCCTGAACCTAATAACAATAAAGTTGCATGCAAACTTTGCAAAGCAACAATCATATAACAATTAAGACCATCATAGTTATATCAGATTTAAAGCTCAAAAATTGAGATTTGTAGACTCACCGATGGTGGGGATGGTGGTGACAATTTCGCCGAGCTTGAGCTTGTACAGGATAGTGGTCTTACCGGCAGCATCAAGACCCACCATCAGAATACGCATCTCCTTCTTGGCAAACAGCCTGCTGAAAAGCTTCGTGAACGTCAGCCCCATCCTGATACCAAAAGAACCCAGAAACCATAAGCACCGATCAAAACTAGATAATAAAATCAAACATCCAAACCAAACCATTGATCCATGAACCTGAAGATGAAGAACGAAATGGAGATAGATTTAGATTTGGGAAGAAATTCTTTGGATTTACCAGCTGGAAAGGATGATATGATTCGAATCTGTATCTACTAATTCCGTTTGAGTGATGTGATTCGCTCCCCTGCTACTTTATTTAATTTGTGGCCTTGAATGATAATCAGATAAAACTATGGGGGTGCAATTCGAATTACACCATTTCGACGTGATGCCAATACTACAAATTCAGGGGCCAAAATTTAAAATTCGCCAAACATCTTGGCTCACTGATTTATTTCCTCTTTTTTCTCACTCCACGTACTCCGCGCTCCATCCTCGCCGCGTGTGGCCATGGCTCGCGCGACCTGCCTCTGCCCTTCGTCGCTCTCCCGCGCTCTTCTCCCCATTCTCTATCACCGAACCACCCTCTCCTCTTCAGTTTTCGGGCAAAACCGCTTCGGCTCCGCCGTGCGGCGCAGATACTCTACGAACCAGACCAGATTTCACGTCGCTCCAGTTCAGGCCAAGGCCAAGCGAGGTTTGACCTCCAAACCAGAGGAAGTAGCTTCCGGTGAGCAAAATACTCGAAAGAACTGATGTGTGTTTGTTATGTAGGAAAATATTCTGCTTTATCACTGCGACTGCGACTGATTTATTTCCTGTTTTTCCTCTTTCTCTAATTCTTGAGACTTTTTGTTCGTCTTAGTTCTACTGATCGAAGCTCAATCATGATTCTTCATCAATATGATGATTTTACTTGAATTACTTTATTTGGATGTTAATTATGTTTTTGTTGGTTATAAGTTATTAAGCAGCATTTCTTCGATTTTTGGATTTTTTTAGTTGAGGATCTTCAATTTGATGTGCCACTCAAAATCGTGGAATATCCAGATCCAAAATTGAGAGTGAGAAATAAGAGAATCGAGACATTTGACGACAATTTGAAGAAGTTAGTTGATGAGATGTTCAAAGTTATGTACAAGTGAGTTTTGGTTGGTTTTTTTTTTTTTTTTTTTTTTTTTTTTTTGGTAACTTTGTAATTTGAAATGCTTTATCTTCTTGAAAATTGATGGAATATAGTGAATTGTCAACTGCCTGCCTCAGGCAGTCCGAGAAATCCTTAAAAATTCGATTTAACATTTTGAAAAGCTGTAGTAGGTTGATGTTTATTAGGAATGGTTGCTATGCATGGAAGAGTGACTGAGTGAGTATTTTTTTTTTTCATTTTTTTTGAATGACAGAACTGATGGATATGGGCTCTCAGCACCCCAAGTAGGAGTTAATGTTCAACTAATGGTGTTTAATCCAGCTGGTGAGGAGGGTGAAGGGCAGGAAATTGTCCTTGTAAACCCAAAAGTTAACAAATATTCAAAGAAGACACGGATCTTTAATGAAGGGTGCCTCTCTTTTCCAGGGATCTATGCTGATGTAGAGGTATTCTTAGGAATTGATTTAACCCTTTACTCCCTTAGTTGCTAACTGCCTTTATTCTTTATTTGATCAACTGGTTTCTGGTATGTGGAAATAGTTTTATGGAATTTGTTGAGTTCTATACTCCTGTGATTTTATTGACTTATAAGTAAGCTTCCTCTTCTGGTTTCATCTGAGTGTTGAATATTGCGTGCTTAAATATCCTTTTTGCGTTTTTGAAGTTGCTGGTGTTCTTAGTTGTTCACTTAGGAGAGGATAGGAAGAGGTTAACTATATGTCCTCTTGGCAAATTTTCCGCATTGGGATGCATGGGAGGAGGAAGAAAGGACAACCTATATATTTTCTTTCTTGGTACATTAGGGAGGCCATTCAAAATTTAAATCCAAGAGGGATTTGAACATTAGACATTTTGCACCTAAAAGAGGTGAAGCGACCGCTTGGCCAACTCTAGGAGGTTGGTAACCTATGTATCCTGTTTTTTTAGCTTGCAAATAGTGGGTAACTTCTAAAATTAAATTAAATTTTATTAAGATTAAATTATTATTCTGATCTGAGATCAATCAGAAGGGAGTAAGTCAGAGATTCTTATTTGATTCATTTAACAGTTAACTAGATAATCAAGATGTCGTAAGTATACTCTTTTAATTTGTTTCAAACCAAAAATGCGTAGATCTTTGTTTCCACCTTTATATTTTTTACTGTTTGGGTTTGATGAGCCCATCTAGTTCTTTTATGCTGTGTTATAACATCCATTATTTTCTACTTTCAGAGACCAGAATCTCTAAAGATTGACGCACAAGATGTACATGGTGCCAGGTTTACAGTTGACATGTCAGGTTTTACTGCACGGATATTCCAGCATGAATTTGACCATTTGCAGGTCCTTTCTTCCTTTCTTCAATGAAAATTTGACAATAATTTTGTTCATTTGTTTAACAATCTATTTTACATTCATTTAACAATCTTGTGAAATGACTGGTAGAATGCAGTTTTTGAACTAGATTCCTATTCTTTTAAAAATTTTAACACTTTTAATGAAGAATAAGAAGTTAAAAATAGAGATTGTTGTATATGGCTGGAAATGGTTTAACTCCAAAACTTGTTTCAGAGACATTAACTTACATTCAGCTTGTAGGGATAACAACTTTTCAATATTGGAAGTTAGAATTTGATAAGACTGGGAATGGATACAAGGTGTGTTCCCTTTCACTTAACAGAGAAAGAATGGCATGCAAATATCCTATATAATTTTAGACTTATATATTTCCCCATTTTTTCACTCTCAGGAATGTGAATAAACTAAGCAAGGCTGGATACCATTAATTTCCATCCAGTTATGGCACATTGTCCCTTGATTACCCCAGCTTTCATTCCTAAACTCTACATCCACCCCTCCCATCTTATACTCTTATGGAACTTTATAGAGTTAAAAAGAACTTCAGAAATGTTTTCTCATTTATGTCCAAATTGATCCATGTTATGTAAATATATCACACATGTAACACATGACTGGCTTAGTTTATGTAGCTTAGCTTGATAGATTATCATGTACTTTCTTGGTCCTATTCCTCTTACTCCTCTTAACACAGTAATGTTACTATTGTGAACAACTTGGAATGAAGCAGCTTCCAACAGAGAATTCTTTTTGTACATGTCAAATATGTTATAGTCAGCAGATCCAGATTTCTGGCTCCTTTCTGAATTTTCTTGAAACCATGGCTGCAGGGGATTCTTTTCTTTGACAGAATGACTGAAGAGGTTCTTGATAGTATTCTTATGGAGCTAAAGGTGCTATATTCTAGATAGGAAATGTTATGTGTAGGATTCTGATGAAGTTTGCAGTTGAAGAAAAAATGTTTTAATTTTTGCTTTCCACTGATTTAATCTACAGGCATTAGAAAAGAAGTATGAGCAGAAGACTGGCCTTCCAAGCCCCGAAAAAATAGAAACACGGAAGAGGAGGAAAGCTGCTGTTGGTTTTGGAAAATCATGAACATAATGACAGCCATGAGGTTTCATATAGAATTAATTCATTAAATATTCATCTTCAGCTAATTCAATCATTTATGCTTTAGTCTTCTTAGGTTCTGTAGTATATTGCAGCTGGCTTGATACTGAAGGAACTGCTCAGTCTAAGTTGCCAAGCGGTAACATGAATTGAATATGTGAACCATGGAAAATTTTTGAAGGTGCAAAGGATAGGCACTTGAATGATGTTGTCAGTCTTAGAGAGATATGTGATTGATATATCTTGTGCTATCTCATGATGCAAGTAAAAGTCATCTATATGTAATCTCATTTATTGAGAAAAATAGGAAGATAAAAGCCAACCTTAGAGCTTTTGACAGGTTCTGCCTTTTATTCACATATATATATACATATATATATATATCCATCTTTGTTACTATTTGTACGGCATGTTACTTTTGCATACAGTGAAAATTTCAGAAGCTTCACCTTAAGATGATTTTTGAGATGTTTTTCTGCAATTCTTTACTGTTATTGGTTGATCAACAGCCTGTAATATTTAGAATCATTGAGGATTTT